ATATTTGAAACACTGGTGGTCTTTGAAGATGATTTGCAATTGAGATTTAGACTGGGTTTAGGAGAGCCACCCATTGGAATTGCTAATTTGGTGACTGCTGCTATAGGTACTGAGAACCACCTACCAAGGACTCGGTTCCACTCCGGAATCCCTATACTGCCGTCCGGGGAGAGGGATTTTGCTCCTTCACGATTCATAAATTTTAGAATCCTGATCCTTCCAATTAGGGATCAAGGTCCTGAGTTACAAGGGTCTAAATTTCCTAGCATTATAGTCTAATATAGTGGTATAGTGTAATGTAGAAATGTGGTATGATGTAGTAGTATAGTATATCTACCGGTGGAGTATAGTATAGTGGAATATACTGCATAGTATAGTATATATTGTATTGTTGTACTGGTATATAGTAGATATAAGGAAGAGACTACGTAATGCCTATGGGCGAAAATGAACAGGATTTTCGCCCATAGGCTCGGTGCTGTCCGATTTTTTCGGACGGTCTAGATTAAAAGACCGCCACGAACATAGCATGTCCGTTGCATTTTTTAAAGCTAAACCGCAACGGCTCTACGAGAGCCGTTGGGGGGCGAAACACTATTCAAATTTGCCTATATGCAATTTTAAAAGTTTTCCTAGAAATAAGTATAATAGCATATAGTGTAGTGGAATATAGTACTATAAAGTATAAAATTTAGTATATGGTGTAGATATGGGGACTTATGGCCTCACTGAGGATATGGCATTTAATAAAGCAGAATGGAGAACTAGGATTCATGTAGCCGACCCCAATCAATTGGGAAAAGGCTAAAATGATGGTGATGATGATGATTTAGTATATGGTGTAACGATATAATGTTGTATAACATTGTGGTTTATTGTAGTAGTATATACTATACTACCATATTGTAGTTGTCATACTGGTATATAGTACATATAAGTATAATAAGATATAGTATAGTAGCATATATGCTATACCACCATACTAAGTGTGCTCTTGGGCCCTCGACTTTTAACCTGAAGGAGCTTGGTCTTGTATGATTTACCATTTCACTTGAACAAGTTTGGATCGAGCTCCTCCACATATTGGGATCAAGGTCCCTAGCTTTTAGGGTGTACGGATTGTAATCGGTACCACAGGGAGCTTTGCTTGTCACGATCCCAAAGTCCAGATCCTGATCCGGGATTTGATTTGATCCTGATCCCCGGTAAATATGGGTGCGGCGTTGTGCTCTATACAAAGGAGACAAAGGAGGGGTGGGGACTTCTTTCCAAATCAATCATAAAAGGGGGTTAAAGAGCAGTCTTTGAGTGTCTTCTCTTTAGCAAAAGGGCATGCAAACCAAACTCTGTTGACTGACATAGGTTCCTTGATACTGTTGCACTTTAAGCTATAAAGTTCCTTCGTGAACACAGTCTTAGACCACATTGGAATGGACCGAATAACATGGATTTTTATTCCTCCACCTATTTAGGAGTGAAAAATGGCCCAACTTCATCTGCTCCACTGTTCAAGGGTGACACTTTTGTGTAACCCTTTTCTTAAAAAAATGCAGACAAAATGCCCTTAACATGAAAAAAGAGAAAAACTGTTTTCCCCATTAGTGAATCACTACCTTGCTTTATGGAGTTGTTCAGCCTCCAAATGGGGCCTTAAGATTATACATTTGTTATTGAAGACCTAAGTTAGTTAGGAATCGGGCTTGGGTCAAGATGGTAGCAGCTGGGTTTTCATAGCACTACATCTCAAATTCCATTCCCATGTAACCTTCTCAAAAAAAGAAAAAAAAAAAGAAGACCTAATGCTACCGAGGAGTAATTCATCATCATCATCGTCCAAGCTTTATCCCAATTATTTGGGTCATGAATCCTATTCCTCCATTCTTTTCTAGCAAGGACAAGAAGTAATTACATTTTGTATATACTTCAAACTGAGTTGTGTTTACGAGAGTTTTATCTTACTCACTAATTGGAAGCTAGGATTGTGTTCTATAAATAATAAATTTGTTTAAAAGGTATTGAGTGGACAACCCCCCCCCCCCCCCCCCCCCTTCCCTACTCCAAAAAAAAAAAAAGGAAAAAAAGAACAAAAAGAAGAAAACCCACCTGCCACGTTCGTATGTCACTCGCTACATTTTCAGTTTTATTATGAGCTGGCCTAAAGTTTTGTACTTGATGATTTGTGATTCTATTTAGACTCGAGGATGCATGAGTTCATCAGAAGAATCTATTTTCTTTTATGCTGATACAGCTCTCAATCTTCTCAAACAAGTGAACCCTGTGTATTTTAAAATAAAATTGCAAAGGATAACAGTATAACTGCTCAACCAATGAAAGTTGAAAGTTTTTATTAAAATCAAAATTTCCATATGGGTCTCGTTTATCATTTGATGTAAGGTGATATGATTCCAACTGCTAGATATTGACTGTTGTATTGTTGCTGTTTACAGGTTGTGAGGGCCCTAACGTATTTGCAGAAGAACAAGGATGCTAATGGAAATGTTTGGGAAGCCACAACTATTCCTCGTGGTACCCTTCAGGTTTGTCCATTCTCCGAAGTTTTTGTACTCTTGACATACCTCTCTATTACTAATCAAATGCTGGAAAGTAAATATAAAGTTCAATGGAAAAATATTTGGATTCTACTTATGACACTAAACATATCGTTGTCAAGGAAATATAATTATAATAAGCATTGCTGTATCAAAATAATAACATACCTCCTAGATCACTATTGAGTTATTCCCCTACTGAAAAAGATAAAAATGGATGTAGAAAGTTCTTATTAATATGCACCTTTCTATTATTAAGCATAAATTGTCATTGTTGTCCGTCCAAAAATCATTGGAATCATCAACTGACCCAACAAAGTTGTTTTATAGTTGGAAGCAGTTTCATGGAAGCACAAGAAGCTTCTCTTAATAAGCTGTTGGGATCTTGCCGTTGAATTTTACATCACTTGTTTTCTTCCATGTGGCATATATTATTGTCCAGCTTATTTGTTCCTTTTTTGCAATTCTTTAGATGACTCTACTGCACAAAGGATTTGATGAGACTCGACGATTGGGACTTAAAAGCCAAACTGAGCAGGTAAACATGCTGGTTGTTATTGAAATTATATTTTTTAATTGAATATAAATGCTTGTTTCTTGTTTGTCTTGAAAAAAGATTTCCGTCTTCATAAGACTGACAAATTTTTGAAATTTTATATATATATATAAAAAGCGTAAACATGTACTGAACTTTTTTTTCAAGATTTTCTGCTTTAGCTCTTTAATATGTTGTGACAGTTTCTTTTGTATATGATGATTAGATTGTCAGACAGGCATCACCGATTGGTGAGACTGGAATGCTTGTTGTTGATTCTGTGGTGAGTTGTTTATTCATCAGTTGGTTGTCTAGTTGGTGCTACAGTATTTAGTGCAATATGTAGCTAAGTTGGTGGATGATATTTTAAGTAGCTTCACCATCACCTATGAGCATTTGGCAGGTTCCTGGTGGGCCTGCACATAAGCACTTGGAGCCAGGGGATGTGCTTGTTCGAGTGAATGGGGAGGTAATCTAATTCTACTTCAATCTCTTTTCCGAAGTCCAGTTATGCATCTTCTAGCATGTAGCTTTGGCTTGAAAATGGGCCATACCACCATCCACGTAGAGTTTTCTTTATTGATACGAACTAGTTTCAAGGCATAAAACTGTAGACTGCAATTTGCTTTACTATTTGTAAAGAAAAATTCTATTAATTTGTGTGCCTTTAATGACAAGATGTATTGAAAATCATTTTTATGTTTTTCTTTTTATCTTGATTTGTTAATTTCACTTGAAATTTCAAACCTAGACTTAATACTCCGCTATATCCCATGCTAGTTAACTAGTTGGAACTTGAGGCATATACTATCATACCAATTTCAAAATGATTTGACAAAAAAAAAAAAAAACTGTGCATACTCTCTCTCTCTCTTTTGGTGTTTCTTTTTTTCTTTTTGGTGCGGGGTTTTTTGGGGGCGTGTGTGTGAAGGTGAAAGCATAAACCTTCAAATTCTCCGAACCCTAAGAAGGGTTTAAAACATGACTAAAAGTTTTTCACAAAGGAAACCCTGGATCTATTTCGAGAAGGATGATAGAGATGTTTCCTTTCTATAAAAATAAAGTGTTGTGCATGTGAAGTTTACTATTGGATTAGCATTCTAAAATAAACCTTGTGCTTGTATATGTGGTTGGCATGTATGTTACTCTAGGCATGTGTGTACATATCCTCACGTGCTTCTTTGTTCATTCTTTCTGACTTAAAATGACATTGCACCTTAGGTCATCACACAGTTTCTGGTACTCGAGAAATTGCTGGATGATAATGTTGAGCAAACAATTGAGTTACAGATTGAAAGAGGTGGATCTCCAATGACAGTGAAATTGACAGTAAGTCAAAATTCTTGTACTTATATTTGGTGGTGCATTTCCTTGAAGTTGCATTTTCAACTATGATTTATTGTGTGGTGTGCATGTTCTCTTAGGAAATGCATGCTCTTTCATTATGTTGTTACTTCTATGTACCTAATATGACCTAACAATGATGCAGGTTCAGGATTTGCATTCTATTACGCCTGATTATTTCTTGGAAATCAGTGGTGCAGTGATTCAACCTCTCTCCTATCAGCAGGTTAGTTACGTAAGGGGTTCTGCTTCCATGTTTGGAAAAGATACTGGTTCCTACTTCTGGAGACCATCTATATTACCATTGTTCTACTTGAAAATTTCTGTTTGCTAGAACGACTTGTAGGCTGACAATGTGCAACTGCTTGGAGAGAATTGAATTTAGAGGGGACTGGAGTGCTTGTGAATATTTGCTTGTGGATCATGATCATACACACTTCTATGCAGAAATGCAATACCATGCACTTGTGTGTACATGTTAGATAGGGTCTTCCAAGACATTGCATGGACCTTTCAACTATAATCCGCTGATTAAGCATATGTCATAAGTGTGTATGTTCTCAAAGACCATGTGACACATGTTATGGGGTTAAGAATATATATGTGTGGTTAGGTGCCTTAATCTCGCCCTCCGGGTCGGGTTGACCTGGTGGTGTGGTTTCGGGTTCGAGATGGACCCGGGACCTGAGATCACTCTCTCGGGAACCTTGTGAAGAAGACACGGGCAGGAATACCAACCAATGATAGAGGAATTAGGGTCGCAAGGTGGGACTCACCTCGCGTGGGTCCGTGATGCGCTTGGGCTAACTCTCCTGGGCGCCCTCTTAGATCACGAAGAATGCCCCCCTGGCCTGTGGCCGGTTTGGAATCGCCTCCCTTGACCTATTTTCTTCTTACCTGCAAAACACACACACACATTAGAGTACAGACAAGTGGGTTTGAGGACCCCACCTTGTCATAGGATGAACACACGTGCGTGTGTACTCAAGGAGAAATGAAAGAAATGGCATAAGAGGGACCATGTCAATTTGACAGCCTTACGACGTCTCCTTGACAAGGGACTTTTAGTAAGATCCTATAGTAAGGAAGAAAGGGGTGGGATAGAGGAAATGATAGAGGAAGGGGAGAGATGTTTGAAGGCTAGTATGTCTTTCAACTAGTCCTTCTGATAAAGGTGGACGGAGGTTGGTTTGGATTTCACCCAACTCCTCAGAGGCAAAGAACAAAGATTTTTGTAAAGAGAAGAAGAAGAAAATGAATGAAAGAAATGATGAAGGTCAGCTTGGTTCTCGCTGAACCCTCGAAGAATGGAGCCGTTTGACCCGACAGCTAGGCGAACGTAGTGACAAGACTAGTGCGATGATTGGTTTGGCGCGACAGCTAGACGAGCACAGTAACTGGATCGGCACAACGGCTAAGCTACTCGATGACCAGACGGACGCCGCGATTAATCTGGCACAGTGACTAGTCTAGCACGGCAGCTAGACGGGCAGGGTAACAAGTCCGGCACAATGGCTAAACTACTCGACAACAAGAATGGCATGACGACTGTCCTGACACGGTGACTAGTCTGGCGCGCAGCTATATGGGCACGGTAACTAGTCCGGCACAACGGCTAAACTACTCGGCGTCAGGACTAGCACAACAGTGCAAGTGCAAGGCTCAACCAGCCCTCCAGTCAAACAAGAAAAAGGAGATGAGAGATCAAGGAAATTGTGCCCAGCAGTGTGTAAAAGTGAGAAGGAAGAAAGATCATGCTCGGCGGTGTTCACTGTCGTGCGCAACAGTCAGAGAGAAAGGAAGGAAAATCACGTTCGGCAATATGCGCTGCTGCGAGCAACAGACAATGAGAGAAGTGAACATCACTCTCGGCAGTATGCACTGCCGTGTGCGACAAGCTGATAGGCTGAGAAAGAAAATGGACATTACGCTCGGCAGTATGCACTGCTGCGCACAACAGACAAGAGAGAGAAGAGAAATCATACTTGGCATTTGCACTGCCGTGCGCAACAAACAAGAGAGAAGAAAAATTACGCACGGCATTTGCACTGCCGTGCGCAACAGACAAGAGAGAGAAGAACCATTACGCGCGGCATTTGCACTGCCGTGCGCAACGGACAAAGGGGGGAGATGAAAGTCATGCTCGGCATTTGCATTGACGTGCGCAACGAACAGAGAGAGAAGAGAACGTCACGCTCGGCAGTAAGCACTGCCGCGCGCAATAGGCAGAGAAAGAAAATAAAATCATGCTCGGCATTTGTACTGCCGTGCGCAATGAACAAGGAGGGAAGAGATCGTCACGCTCGGCAGTATGCATTGCCCTGCGCAACAGACTGAGGGGAACATGAGACGAGAAAGAAGCAGAGAGAAAAAGAAAGAGAAGAGAAGAAAAAGAAAGAAGAGAAAGAGAAAAGGAAAGAGAGAAGAAAGAAAAGGAAAGAAGAAAGAGAGAAAAGGAAAGAAGAAAGAAAGAGAAGGAAAGAAGAAAGAGAGAAAAGAAAGAAGAAAGAAGAAAGAAGAAAGAAGAAAGAAGAGAGAGAAAGTTTACCTTAAACCCGGAGGTACCACCAAAAGTCTTCTCTCTCCTCTCTCTTTCTCTAAGACGTGACCAAATCTCAAGCAAAAAGTAGAATTTTATTGATTTTCTTGGTTCCATTACATGAGGTGCGTGCTTGTTTATATAAAAGTGGGACCCGAAGGTGGGTGTACACTCAAAAGTTGACCTAATTGTTAGAAATTAACAATTAAGTGAATTATAAATATTCTAAGAAAATGGGGCAAAATGACGAGTTTGCCCTTGCACCAACAATCCATGAAATTCCAATTGAATCCCTGCTGTGCCCAAGAACTCTTGCAATCTTCCCGAGTTGGTTCGAGGTCTTTCCGGTCTCCATTCGGCCGAAAGATGATTCTTTTCTTGATTGGCTCGGCCGTTTTGATACCATTTTCGAGCCACAGATCGGGTCTTTGGGCCACGACCGCAAAGTGCAAAAATCACGAGGAACGTGCGATCTTATTTTAAAGACTACGCGCGTTTCTTGATGTTCTTCGATGATTTCTTCGCTGAATATCGACGAGCAAGTCGTCATGAGCGTTTGGCGACGAATGTGGCTTGACTTAGTGTCCGAATGACCATTTTCTATTTTTTATCCTTTGGCCGGATTTTGGTTTCTGGTGACCGGAAAGTGCAGCAATTTCATACTCGTCGCATGTCAAATCTGATCGTCCATCACGTGCGAGGTTCGGCTCTGATGACGCCTCGAACCTTGTGCTTGTAATGGGTCTGATTTCGGGTCGATCTGACGTGCGAATGTCATGATGTGGCCGCTCAATCGAGGTGTTCTCCTGCTGGAAAACCTGCAACCTTGCCTTGAATCGTGATCTTCTCTCATGTTTTTCTCTTGGCTCGGGCCACTACATGGGTAGTGCCACATATCAAAATGCTTGGGTCGACGAAACGAACACGCCCGTAAAATTTGAGCTTGATCCGGCTTTGGATGAGCGAGATATGGCTTTTAAAAGTTGAGCCCGAAACCCATGAACACAGTTTCCATAAATGGAATTTGGTCCACTGAGGGTGCACGGTAATAGCGTGTGACTTATCCATTTCGGGTAATTTGGCCATAACTTGGTTTAGGAATGTCTGATCAAACTGAAACTTGGTCCCTGGGGGTTTTCGGATGTTCCGGATCCAATGACGGTGGTCCCATGGTCGTTTGAAGCTCCGATGATAGGGTTGTAGTTATAAAGTCCATTTCAAGGCGATAGAGGCTGATTTTCCCAAAACTATTTTTGTGTTTGTACTGCCTTAGACTTGTCAGATTGCGATGAAACTTGGCAGGTGTTCTTAGGAGACCTTTATCAACATTCTTGATCGCTCTTGGGTCATTCTGAGACTGTTGGAATTTTGCTTCTGGATCAGGGCTTATTATCCTACAGCTTCCATAGTCTACTGGCACTTGGTATTTGTGGACCTAGGTCGCAAATTGCTTTTCTCTTTATTCGCAACGGGGATACAAGTGTTAAAAAATACCCTTAAACAATGTGATGGTTGATTTTACTAATATACAATTGAGAAAGAAATGCAGGGTATTTGTTTCCTATTAATTTTCAATACGTAACTACACAAATTTAATGCTTATGACATTGAAGATATCATGAATAAGGATCGTCTATTTTTTTGTTTTTCACACATTTGGCAATTTTATAAATAATGGGCTTGAAAGGTTGTCATTAAGACAAAAAATGCATGAATGTGTGAGTCCAATATGTGTGAATCTGCAAGTTCAAACTTTCGACGGATGGTGTTTCTTTAACAGTCTAACCCAAAATTTTGGATGCCTTTAGCTTTTAGTTTATAGAATTTTTTTTTGTGTGCATCTGAGCTTTTTTAACAAGTTTTTAATATTATTCTTTTGAAGAAGCACTGCATTATTGCATGGCAGTATCCTTGGTTGGGCCTTAACGTTAACCCACCATTTTCTTGATCTTGTTCAATGCTATATTAACAGTCTTCCTTAACAGTGGAAGGGGTTAGAATTATAAGAAATGTCCAATTCTTTCCTTTTTTGGAATATAGTTTTGTTCCAAATAAGAAATATGTTTCACCTGGCATGTGTTATTACTTAGTGTCCTAGACTTCTTTTAAATAAGCTCATTAGCTAATGAGAAGTGGAGTGTTAAAATTTTCATGAACTACTCTTATATTTGGAAGAAAATTGATTAGATTTTTTCAGCTGGACATTTCACTATCTAATGCATTCATATTGTTATCTGGTAACAGGCCAGAAACTTCCGTTTCAACTGTGGCTTGGTATATGTTGCGGAGCCTGGGTATGTCTTTACGTTTTATACTTCATGGGTTTCTGTCATTTTCCTTTCTTGGTCTTCCTCTATTTTCAGATTGGTCCTGTATATTTTTTTTTGTTATCCCAGGCATCTTCTTACATATGATTTGTAATTCTTATTAATATATTGTTAAGGACCATTAAATGAGATGCCTTCAAACGGGCATGAATTTTTGCTCCAGGCTTGGAATATCAGGAACTTATGTTCCAACAATGCTGTTGGCTGAATAGTTCATGGATCGGATAGAGGCTACATTCCTCTGGAAATGATTCACCTTTCTTTGTGATTTGTGCTTTTTTCACGGGGGAATGTACATCTTTTCAAATGTTGGAGAAAGATGCTTGCAACCTCAGGTGATTACTATACATGGCACATGCTCAAGCTTCGATGGAGCTGACTGGAGAGCTTCTCACACACAAGCCAAGGGGAGAGTTTCTAGGGTTTTCTTTTAGGAGAAAGAATCTATGAGAGAGAGGGCGCTTGCTGGTCTCTTGGAGAGAGGATGAAGAGGAGGTGCATAAAGAGCTAGAGGAGAGAGGTGTATGAATGGTCGGTTTCCTTAATAGTAGAAATCGCTCCCTCTCTTGTCCTCCCCTCTATTTATATTAAAAATTCTCTGGTTTCCTATCAATATGGAAACACTCTCCTCCTTAATTTGTATAGGACTTCATTCAGATTGCCTCTATGTTAATTCCTTTGCTAATTAGAATGGGATTTGAACTAGATTTCCTCATCCATGTCTACTAATTTGGATAGGATTTAATCTATATTTTGTCATCCAAAACTAGTATTTTGATTAGGATGTTCAAAATCCTTATCCCACTCAATTTATCTCACATATCAATCCTAAATTTGTTAATGTGCCTTACTCTTATAGCCAACATGGTTAGCAAATCACATCCCTGTGAGGAATCATTCCACCCAAGAGTCGGACAACCCTCATAAACCAACATTTCCCACTTCAGTCGGTGCAAATATGAGTAAATCTCTCTTCCTTACTTTGCGAATGTGTCATGATGAAAGAACTATCCCATATGCCATAAATGAAATTCGTCGTGAGATATTTAAAAACTAGCACATCCCAATTGGGAGAACCACATTAAATTTCTATCAAACTAATGTGGACCGCCTCTACTCTTTATTCAAAATTGCTCCAACTTGACCTAGACTTTGTGATTCAGTATTCTCAATTAATACCTCCCACGCTTTATACTCAGAGAATAATCAACCTCATTGTACACTCATGTTCAACTTATTACATGAAAGACATTTCTCATTAAAATCTAGAATTTCAATTGCAATTAAGTAATATATTTGATTTAGTATTTTTTAAAAACACTGTTTACAAAAGATTACACTTGGTAGAAACTCGATATAGCTGACCTGCTAAGTGTCATGATGTGCATGGATGTCTCTGGTACCAATTATAATCTGATGCCAGTGGTCTTACCCCAATCTCAATGTTATTCGATTTGACCACTTTTCTACCTTTGCTTCGAACCTAGTCGAATCAAATCACCATGGGAAGACACACTAAACTAGCTAGATCACATCTCCACTTTCTAAGATAGTCTTATGGTTTATGAGAGCACTTGGGTTCTTAACAACTGGCATTTATCACATGGTATAATAGGAGACAGGGATCATCTTGTTCACCTCTATGTATATAATAGCAACAACAACGACAATAATAGTAATAGCAGCCGTAGTAGTAATAATCTTGCTAAGCACGTGTGATATGATCCATGTTGTAATTATACCATACAGATTTTAGTTCTGTCGTTGCAATTATGCACATTAAGGGTTGCCCCAATGTGCCTCACATGAACATCCCTACTGCTCACACCTGGCTTTTATATAGGCTACGTGATTCAATGGGATGTTATATAGATCATGTCAATTTCTGATATGGAATCTCATCTCATCTCAATTCACACACCTCGCACATTGCATCCTCCAATGTCCCTGACATTGAGGGTGGTTAACCTTGCATGACTAGAAAATCTAGCCTGCTGAAAATTCAACTAACAAGGATCATGTGGCCTAGTGTGCAATATTTGTGTCCAATGAACAAAAATTCGGTCGCCTTGCAACCTAGGCGTCTGTCTAAGCGGTATTTTTTCCGAACCGCCTAGTCGTGGCCTAGGCGGCATGTTCTAGGCGGGTCCGTCTAGGCGCCCGCCTAGGCGCTCGCCTAGGCGTTAAAGGTGCCTGCCTAAGCGATGTAAAAGACGGCCGCCTTGATCTGCACCTTTTTATGCCACTTGTCGGAAATGCTTTTTGCATGTAACAATATTTAGTAATTTATTGGTGAACCAAAAAATGGTATTAATTTAGTTTTAATTATTATCGAGACGGATTAGACTTTTTATGCTACTTGTTGAAAATGCTTTTTACATGTAACAATTACTAATTTATTAGTAAATCAAAAAATAGTATTACTTCGTAATTTTTAATTTATCGAAAATGCTTTTTGCATGTAATAGTAATTATTAATTTATTGCTACACCAAAACAATAATATTAATTCATAATTATTAATTTATTGAAAATTCTTTTTGCATGTAACAGTTATTAATATTTTATTGGTAAACAACAAAATAGCATTAATATGTAATTATTAATTTATTGATAAACAAAAAAATAGTATTAATACAGTTTTAATTAATATATGGAGGGATTAGACTTTTTATGCCACTTGTCGAAAATACTTTTTGCATGTAACAGTCGTCATCATCATAGCTTTTACCCAATTAATTGGGGTTGGCTACATGAATCCTGATCCCCCATTTTACTCTGTTAAAGGCCATACCATCAGTGAGGCCATGAGTCCCCATATCTTTCCGAACTACTTCCAACTACGTCATTTTGGGCCTACCCTTTGCCCTTTTCAGTCCTTTCACTTGAACTTACTCGTACCTCCTAACAGGTGTTGTACATGGTTGATGCTACACATGGCCAGCCCTCCTAAGTCTACTCTCTCTCATCTTATTGCCTATTAGTGCCACACCTAAATTCTCTCGAATGGATTCATTTTGAATTCTATCCCTTCTTATCTTGCCACTCATCCGTATCAACATCCTCATCTCCGCTACACTTTTCTATGGGTATATTGTTTTTTGTCCGCCCAATATTTCACCCCATAGAGCAAAGCTGGTCTCACAACTGTTCTATAGAACTTGCCCATCAGCTTCATTGGTATGTGGCGATTGCATAAAATTCTAGTTGCATATCTCCATTTCGTCCCATAGAGTAAAGATGGTCTCATAATTATGTGTGCGACATCTTCCTTTGTCTCTCCATTTTTCTGAATGACCGACCCAAGATATCGAAAGTGCGGTCTTTTTTGTACTTCCTGACCGTCATTCTTAACTACTTCCTCGTCTCCACTTCTATTACTCTGTCTTAGTTCGGCTAATTTTCAAACCTTTTGATTCTAGAGCATCCTTCAAAAGTTCTAACTTTGTGTTGACTTCGTTTTAGGTTTCATCGATCAAAACTATGTCATCTGCGAACAACATATACCACGGGACCATATCCTGTAGGTGCCTAGTTAAGTCGTTCATAACGAAGATAAAGAGGTACGAGCTCAATGCTGACCCTTGATCTAGACCTATTGTCACTGAAAATTCACTCATCTCTCCACTACTTGTTCGTACACTAGTTAGCGCTCCATCATAAATATCCCTCACCAAGTAGATGAAGTGTCTGGAGACTCCTTTCTCTTCCAACACTCACCAAATCAAATCTTGAGGTACTCTATCATAAGCGTTCTCTAGATCAATAAAGACCATGTGGAGGTCTTTTCCCTTTAACTCTAAACTTCTCAATCAGTTGTGTAAGTAGGAAAATAGCCTCAATTGTTGACCTTCCTAGCATAAAACCAAATTGGTTTTCAGATACACTCGTTTCATGGCATAGTCATTGCTCATTCACACTTTCCAGAGCTTCATAGTATGGCTCATAAGCTTGATCCCTCAATAGTTCGCACAATTCTGTACGTCTCATTTGTTCTTCTAAATAGGTACCACAATATTTTTTCTCCATTTGTCAGGCATTTTCCTTATTTTCAACACCTTGTCGAACAACTTCATCAGCCAGTCAATGCCAATCTCCCCCATGCACTTCCAAACCTCTATCGGGATACCATCTGGTCCTAAAGCCTTTCCTATCTTCATCCTTTTCAAAGCTTTTTTCACCTTCGATATCCTAATCCTACGAAGGTATTTATGACCTCCACCTTCATTTGTACCAACAGTTCCTTCTAACGCTATGTTCCCATAAATTAATAACAGTAATTATTAATTTATTGGTAAATTAAAAAATAGTATTAATTCATAATTATTAAGTTATCAAAAATACTTTTTTACATGTGACAATAATTATTAATTTATTGGTAAACCAAAAAATAGTATTAATTCATTTTTAATTAGACTTTTTATGCCACTTGTCATTTTGCGTGGCACAATAATTATTAATTTATTGGTAAATGAAAAATAGTATTAATTCGTAATTATTAATTTATCGAAAATGCTTTTTGCATGTGATAGTAATTATTAATTTATTGGTAAACCAAAAATAGTATTAATTCGTAATTATTAATATATAGTATATGTAATAAAATGGGGGGAGGTGTGGGCGATCCAACTTAAAAAAAAAGACAACACAGGTTGTCTTTGGGTCTGGGCACCTGCCTACCCCGAGCCCAAACTGCCATGTTTTTTAACATTGTTTGTGTCCAAACCATACACGTGCATTGAGGAAATGGTAATACCATAAAGCAATAATATCGAAATTTCTAAGAGAGAATAAGTAGAAGTGTGAGTTGTGAATTATCGGTTATCTCTATGACTCCATTTCTTGCAACTTTTCCTAAAATCTGTGTGCACACGTGCGTGTGTCTAATCTTAAAACAAGAATTCTTGTTTTGCACATGGAGATAACTAGAGGTGCTAGAGGTGAACAAGTGGTCATGGTTCACAAATG